ATGGCCACACCCTCCTGGCTGTGATAGGCCAAAGTAGCTTCTTCCTCCTTTGGTCACAGAAGCAAGAGCAGGAACTGTGCTAACTGGCCTTGGCAGTGGCCTGAGGCAAAGCTGGCCATCACAGTGCTGTGAGCATGGGGCAGACACTGTTGACAACAGCAGCCTGGAAGCAGAGAGAGTGGCAAACAGGAAGCAACTGGGGCAAGATAGCCTTCAAAGACGCTCCCCCAGGACCCCCACTTCATCCTCACAGACACAGCTTCCACAGTTCCACAGCCTCCCTAGAGTCTGTGCAGACCGTGACTCTACCACTGGCCAGTCCCCTGATGAAGGCAGGACCAGTCACTGCCCCTGAAACCCCGCCAGTGAACTCCCCTGGAAACAGACAGTAAGCTTTTTATTACATGAGCTTGGGGGAGGGGCTCAGTATCTATCTAAACCATAACAGAGGGGAAGATGGGAAGCAGATAGATGCTTATCATTTTTACAACATAGGCAAGGTATTGTTGGAGACAAATGCTAAAAGAGAGATGGGAATGGAAGAGGTGAGGATGAGCCAGGAGCGTGTTCTAGGCCAAGAACACTGTTTGCACAGTGTGAGCTTTGTATAGACACATAGGTGATAGAGAGCATAGACCCTGTTGTCTCAGGTAGGGGGCACCACGCCAGGTTTGAACGACTGGACGCATAAGCTAATAGGTTTTACTTGTCTCTGTCAATGGGCATCTTTACTTAAAGCAAATATCTGGAGCAACTCAATCATATAACACCAGCACTGCCGAGATAGCCATTCCTCTAGGCCTCCTTTGCTGCCACATGGGGGAGGCCACACACAGCCAGATGCTGCGCTTCCTGGAGTTGGCACTCGGCCTTGGATAGCGCAGCTCGCACTGTCCTGGCTGGATTTTCCATCTGTGTTGCTGCTTTCAAGGACTTGGGAGCCATTCAAAATTCCCACGGCAAAGGCAGCTATACGCTCTTTTTAGAACCTTGCCCCAGCATGGGTGGGCTGGCACTGATAAAGCCTTCTGGAAGACCATTCCCGAAACTAACAAGGGAGGGTCTCATTTAAGGCTGTGTTGACGTGGCCAGCCAGCACACTACCGCCCCACCCCCAAAGGCATGATTTACACAGTTTTTCATGTCGGGAAGTTGAGACTCAAAGACACTGACTAACTTTGCCCAATGACAAGAAGAGAGTAAATGGGGGGAAAACACAGACTCAGGTCTAAGGCTTGATTCCCTCAGCTGGAGTCCCATCATGACCTCGCCAGCCTCTTTCCCGCTCGCTTCTTATCTTCTCGGAGAGGTGTCTTCCTCTTAGTACCTTTCCTGGTCTATACTTGCTGTTCAGGAGTTACTTAGTTTATGGATGCAGGGTCTCACTGTATAGCCCAGGCTGGGATGGAGCTCCGAACCTCCTTGCCTCAGCTTCCCAAGTGCTAAGATCATGGTTGCTCACCACCAGCCCCAGCTTGGATATTGATTAGTACAATACATTCGGACATTTTGCTGGAGTCATACAGGTTCCTGGAAAACACTACCCCTAATTCTACAAACTGAGGCATTCTAGTGCCTGCTAGATTGACACTTCAGGAAGAGAGTGGTGTCAGTCTCCAGCTGTGTTTAGAATGTCCCTTCCGGGCAGTTGTTAACCACCTCTACGGGGGTCCTGATCTTGCAATACTATACACCTATCACTGCAGCTAGGTACCCTCCTGTGGAATCCGGCTCTATTCCCCGTCTCATACTCTTCAAGGAGAAAAATCACAGACCGCCTGTCTTGTCACTTTTCTATAGCTGTGTAGAGACACCATGACCAAGGCAACTTATAACTGGCTCTTACAGCTCCAGAGGGTTAGAGCCTGTGACCATGATGGCAGGAAGTGTAGCAGCGGGCAAGCAGACGAGCGAGCATGGCACTGGACCAACAGCTGGGAGCTTATACAGTTATCCACAGTTGGAGGCAGAGGGAGAGCTAACTGGGATTGGTGTAGGCCTTCGAAACCTCAAAGCCCACCCCCAGGGACACACCTCCAACAAGGCCACACGTCCTTCTCCTTCCAAACAGCTCCACCAACTAGGGACTAAATATTCAAATATAGGATCTATGGGGGGCCATCCTCATTCAAACCACCACACCAGCCATAAGGTTGAGTTTCTTGTCTCCTTTTTTTCCCCCTCTCTTCTTTGGACTCTCACTGGGGCGTCCGGCCTTAAGGCATTCTTGTTTTCTAGCTTCTAACTTTTCTTCACACCAAACAATGCCTGTGATCTGTGTCCCATCCCTAACTCCCAGATGTCTGCTCTGAGCTCTGTGCCTTTTAGGAACCATGCTAATTAAGTTATGAAAGTAGAAAGAGAAGGCAAAGATGGGACAAAACACAGATGTAGCAGATGTGTTGGTCATCATGTGGGTCTCCTAACAATGGGAAGTAGGGGCTGTCTCTGACTCTGTTGCCTGCCTCTGGATCCCTTTCCCCTAGCTGACCTGCCTTGTCAGGCCTCAGTGGGAGAGGATGTATTTAGTCCTATTACAGCTTGAGGTGCAGGGTAGATTGTTGACAGGGCCAGCCAGCACACTACCACCCCACCCCCAAAGGCTTGATTTACACACTTTTTCATGTCAGGAAGTTGAGACTCAAAGACACTGAATAACTTGGGAACCTCCCCTTCTCTGAGAAGAAAGAGGAGGTAGAGGGAAGGCGTGAGCAAGGGTGGGGCTGGGAGGAGAGGAGGGAGGGGGCTGGGGTCAGGCTATAAAGTGATAAATAAAAAATTAAATTTATAGAAAGGACAAAATGTAATTACAAGCCATGTAATTACATTTTGTGTATCTTCCATACACCCCTACTTTCCATGATACCCAAGAACGATACCAAGGCACATCTGGGATTTAGTCACTATATTTGCTCTGTAGGATGGGCAAAGCAAATAAGGTGCCCACTCAGTCCAATTTATAGTTAGACATTGTATTTGTCACCTAGAGACCATCTATCGTGTGTTTGCCCTACCTGCTGTTCCCATTGCCGTGTCTATATAATTAGCTAGGAAATGGGCCACCTCAAACCACTGATCTCTAATAAAACATTGCATTTTTGAAAATGCATGATTTTGTCCTATTCGGTAATTGTTATTTTTAAGTTCAGTTCATTGCCTTGAACAGCATAGCTCATATGGTGTTAAGTGGATTTCCCATTTGTGTCATTGAAGAGTTATGTGGAAAATACTACGAGGAAAACAACACTTTGGAAACAGTGAAGGGAAGAAAGTTAATTGAGTTTAAATTAGACACAGCAATAACTTAAAATATAATTGAAAGCTTCAAAGGAAACTGGTGCTTTCATACAGTCTAGTAAGATGCATTTGGGATAAACTATTTTAGTCTAATGCTTTGATATCTAATTTACCTTCACAATTCATTTGTTTATGAATGTCAAATACTTTTTTTATGTAAGAAAATAAAATTTTGAGTTTTCTATGTACAGAAATCTTTAAATAAGGATATAAGCTCTATTTGTTTATGACTCTGAAAAGGAATAAAATTTCTATCTAATCTGGGGCTATGTATGTGTGGTAGAGTACTTGAGGAGCAAGCTTGAGGCCTTGGCTTCAATCCCCAATACTAGAGAAAGAGAACAGGGAAAGAGGGGAGGAAGGAAGGGAGGGAAGGAAGGGAGGGAGGGAAGGAAGGAAGGAAAGAAGGAAGGAAGGAAAGGAAGGAAGGAAGGAAGGAAGGAAGGAAGGAAGGAAGGAAGGAAGGAAGGAAGGAAGGAAGGAAGGAAAGGAAGGAAGGTATTTTTGGATTTTTGTTCCCATTATTATTTTTTAATATTATAAAACGTTTATTGTCTTTTTCTTTTCCCAATGTGCAGTTTCCCCTCCCTGTCCTCCCTACAACTTCCCCTTTACCTTTCACCTCCCCCCCAGAAAAGAGCAGGATATCAACCAAATACAGCATAACAAGCTATAATAAGACCAGGCACAAATTCTCAACATCAAGGCTGGATGAGGCAACCCAGTAGGAGAAAAAGGGTCCCAAAGGCAAGCCAGAGAATCAGAGAAAACTGCTGATTCCACTGTTAGGAATGCCACAAGAACACTCAGCTACACAGCCATAACATACATGCAAAGGACCTAGGTCAGACCCACACAGGCTCCCTGATCTCTGTGATCACTTGAGTCCTGGTCAGTTGATTCTGTGGGCCATGTTGTTATGGCGTGCTTGACTTCATATGGAGGACTCTATGTGACTATGGGATCTCCACATAGGCACTATTAGGAAACTGTAATGGTGTATGTTTTCCAACTATCAAATAGTGGATGCTTAAGGAGTCTTTTTAATTGAAAATATATTAAATCTGCATTGACTTTGAGGGTATCATTCTTGCAAAACTGACACTAGGGTGGGGCAGGGAGCTAGGCTAATGTTACCTGTGACTGCCTGCTGAACCCCGATACCATCTTTGGAAACAGAACTTCCTCTGGGTGCTCCATGGCCATGTCCACCTTGATGTCCAATTGCGGGGCTCAGCCCTTCACTCATCCCAGGCCTCCTCTTCCTCTGTATGTCCATCCAGGCCATTTCAAACTCTCAAGCATTTCAAGCAGTTCCTGCCATTGCTCTACATTGGTTTCAAAAGTTAGAACCTTGCTTGCTAGCCCTGATTTGAGATCAAGTTAATCCTTACTTCAGTTAGGAGGTAGGCGGGTTGCAGAGAAGCCCCGCCTTAGCGGGTTCAAAGTGTGTCATTCAGCGACTGTAAGTTGTTATGCATCCATCACCACCATCCATCTAGGGTTTTTATGTCTCCCTCCAGGCCTCTGCCTCCACCACGGAAGTAGTGCCCTAAGAGGACAAGCTATAGGGTGAGCAATGGATCTCGTTGCCTAGAGATCCTTTGACTCTGAGAATGGGACAGCTGAACTTTAAAGCAGCTCCAAGCCATGAATAGGACAGGCTGGCTAAGACAAATTTCCTCTTTCTTTTCTCTTTAAGCAGCTCCGAGCAACGAGTCCCCTGTTCCACTTCTTACCACAGCTCTGGTTTGCACTCAAGTGACAGTGTCACGAAAGCAGGACCCATGGGCCTTCCGGAAATCAGACAAGTGCCAACTGTTGTGATTGAATGTGATGACAATAAAGAAAATGTGCCTCGTGAATCTGACTATGAAGACTCGTCCTGCCTGTACGCACGGGAAGAGGAGGACGAGGAGGAGGAGGATGATGACGATGCCTCACTATACACCAGTACGTGAAGGCAGCCTTTCCATGGCTGTGGGGGAAGCGTGGTACTGTAGAGACAGCACAGAACAGCTGCCTGACGATCTGGTTTTACCTGGGCCCAAGGTCATAGGGACAGCTCAGGTGACTTCTCCAGGCCCCACCTCCTTAAGCAGTAATAAGAGAGTAAAAATCATCTACACAGCTTCATAGCTCTACACACATCACACCATTTTATCACCTCC